CATCCAAACACTTGCAAATATCACAAGATCTGTTTGATTTCTGAGTATGTGCCTCTTAAATCTTTTCGACAAACAATCCTGGTTGTTAAAATCCAACTGAAATCACAAAAAGTATCTCTGTACATTCAAAAACATTGTCATAATATTTTTTAAAATATGTTTTATTACTGAAAGGAAGAAAAAAGGTCCTTTAGCCTCAAAACCTGTGAGGAGGCAGGCATGGACACTGAGACACAATGTAAACTTGTGATTGCAACTGTAGCTTACAACCTAAACACAAGCAGTGTTTGTTGGCAGTCGTGCTAAAGAAGAAGAAGAAGAAGCATAACGTTTAGAATCTAAACTGACCTATGTTGACATTTGCAGGTAAGGTATAAAACTGGTCAGCTGTGATCGGATACAGCCCTATGTGACCCTCTTATGGGTAAGTGGTTGTAGTTAATGGATGGATGGTTTAAAGCTGTTCAATATGCTATGACCGACTAGCTTATAATTAACAGCAATCGTGGGAAGAAGGGGAAAATCTCCTATAAGTCTGTCTTGGAAGCATTCACACATTATTCCAAAATAGTTAGACCCCACTGCTAGCGGGACAATGGAATTTACAGAGCTAATGTTGTCACTGGAAATAACAGTGCGCTCTATTTCAAGTTGGATTTCAAGAATTTGATTTTAGTCCTCATCCAAATGTACTAGTAAGACCTTCATATATCTGTAAAACTGTCGTTCTGTCAGCTCTGCCTGGGGCACACATTCCCTGAATTTATTTGTGTGAAAGGTGATGTAGAATCAGAACAACAGAAAGCCTCATTTTATCTCTAATACCTGCCGTGCCAAATGCCCAAGAAGTCTGTTTGCTTACCAGGTTTCTGTCATCACCAACGATCTGCAGTGACAAACAATCAAAATGGAAGATCGTGAGCTCATAATCTGTAGTTACCTGTTCAAAAGGGGCTTGGTGGCTTTGAAATAAAAGATAGTGTGATTTAAATATTATTGTTATTTCTTTTCTTTCCAGTCTGTTTGCCACTCTTAATCCCTTTCTTTCTAGTTTGCCAACAGTTCCTCACTAGCACCTCCCCCCTGGAGATGGGGAAATTTAAAATATGTATCATACCAACACTCTGCTTGTCATCACCCAACCACACACACACACACACGCACACACACAATGCTATACATTACATCAAACAGGTGTACCCACTGCGACAGTGGTATTGAAGGTTCAATATGGCATTCAAAACCAGTATGCGCAGAACACACAGAGCATTTCATCCCCAGAACACATGGAAATATACTTTGGTGTGATTCAGGAAGCCTTCACTGACATATGTGTGTCTATATATATATATATATATGCACACTTCATATACATATATATATATGTATGCACACTTTCAGTCTCACTGAAAATAAAGTCTATCCTTATTTTATAGTTTATTATAAAATATATACATATTTTTATAGAGGCTTGTGTATCATAAATAGTTTCACAGTGACTTTGTTCTAAGGGCCAATAAAGCAACTTCAAAAGGTGTGAATTGTTTGGCAATGTGTTGTTACATATCTCTAATGAATCTATTTTTTCAGAAAATCACAAAAAGTATTAAATGTTAAGATCCATGTCTCCAGAGACTTTCCTTTACCACAGTTACAGTAAATCTCAGAAAATCCAAATGAACAAAGTTGATGAAAAGTTTCAAATAAAAAGCTACGACCACTAGAATTATGAAATGTAACGACTTCAGTGATCCCTGGAGTATTTTATGTCTACTATTGCACGTGCCACCACCATTCCCAGGCTAATGACTCTCTAATGGCCCCATTTATCCATTTAGCCTCATTGAGTTCTATGCAATGCTGGTCCCGCCAGGTTCTTTGCCTGTTGGTCGATGCTTCAAACACTTGACTGCAAGTGGACCATTGGAGAGCTAGTGAGTTGCAAAGCCGTCTGTGACTAAAGTGGATATAGTGGTGTCAAAATCAAATCAGGAGTTATCTTTTCTACATGGGCTTTAAACTACAATACAATTTTTAAATTAAAATGTAAGTGCTGGATGCTGTCACATATACTCATCATATATTGGATTATTAGAAGGTCTTAGGGAATTTCATTCAGGTGCTTTGTGATGTTGAATAATATTTTGGGGTGCATTGATATCTATAAAACTGTAATATACAGCATGCACTTTTTTATCATATTTTATCATGTTAGTCCAGGGGGAGGAAGGGCAAACCTAAATATGACAAAGACATTGGTGGATTTAGCTAAATTAAACTGACATAATCCCACCAGTCGTTCATCAGGGTATTCTGTGTTGTGTCACTTAATCAGCGTGATGCCTCCATATTTACTTTATAGGGGGAAACTGCCTGGGCGGAACCTTATATTTTAAGCAATCTTCGTTAACCTGACCAAAAATGGTTTAAGGCAAAGTTTTAACTACTGTGATACCAGCTTGATATTAATTTCAGCATTCATCCATATATTTTATTTAGGTTCTATACTACAGCACAGCTGTGGAATACAGCACCTCGAGTATCAAGTATCAAAGGAAGGAGCAGGTGGTACTAAGATTAAACTTAGAGGGATATATAATTACCTGAGGAGGATTTGTTACACAGCTTGTCTTTTGTGTCATGTTTTAACACTGAACTAAATATTTAATAGCAAGTGACAGTGTGCACTCTTATTCATAATTTTTACATACTAAGATGGATAATAACAGATGTATTCAGGTCATACAGTCACACACACATAAACACAGACTGGAAATTCTCAGGAAATGACTAACCTACCATGGTGGTATTATTGTTACTATTGCTGTTATTATTACGACTTTTGTCATTGATATCATCATTATTATTGTCATTGGGAGTCTTAGTAGCAGTAGTTTATTATAAAGGGATTTGCTCATATAACAACACCAAAAAAGAAAAAAAATCTCTATTCTGTTAAGAACTGCAAAATGCTTGATAATCTTGAATGCCCATATAAATGAATCAGACTGTTAATTTACGTAATTGTGGGCTGCATTGTCATGCGGTTACAAAAGGTGAAGTGTAGTAACTTAAGAATTGTAATAATCAGTGTCACGCAGTGTGTGAGTTAGACTTAACTTTAGAATGTAGACAGCAATTTTACTCCCACAAGAACTGAAGTTACTAGGGCTTCACTAATGATTTGTATGTAGATTAATATGGATTTAATTTATTAAACTGCATTTGCAACAAAATAATGATTACTGTATGATTCAGAAATTGCTTTAAATCAAGCCAGGTATTTCGATAACTTGCATGTGCAACTGGTTGGCATTATAACGCTCAAGTATTTTTAATTAATCATACATGTACGTCTTGTATAAGATCATAGTGCTGGAGGTATCCAGATCAAGAGAGATACAAGTTGATATAATTGTGAATCTAACACGGTAGAAGAACACAACACAGTTGGTTGAAAAACTCTTGCCAGGGGTCCTTGGTCCCACAGTGCAACCCCACAAATTTGATGTATTAACACTTTGTTTTTTCCAACACATTTTCTGTATTAATTACAGTAATTATTAATATAATTCAGGTGCAAAAATACTGAATCCCTTTATTGTAATTATCTTTAGCCAGAAACAGTCAAATAACAATTATGAATATATTCTTTAACCCAAGGGTGGCCAAACTACCTGTGGCCAGGCCCACTGCCTGATTTTAAATGGCCAGAGGTGTATTTTTTAAAAGATTTTTGGGGGCTTTTTGTGTATTTATTTGAGATAGTACTGTGAGAGACAAGAAATGTGGTAGAACGAGCGGGGATGGCATGCAGCAAAGGGCCGCAGGTCAGACTCAAACCTGGGCTGCTGCGCCAAGGATTCAGCCTTTGTACATGGAGCTGGCACTCTGTGGGTGAGCTAACTGGTTACCCTAGAGTTAGATTTTTAATAACAAACTACGGCTTGAGCTTATTTCTAAAAAATGTACATTGCACATCTAGTTGTCCCTGTCATCTTGTGCAACTACTTGACCTACAATAATGGATTACAAGTTGATGAAAACGTTTACCAAAAGATATTGATGGTAACAAATTCAGAATTTTTAGCTTTTTATATTTTTCTGCATATCAAAAAAAAAATTTAAAAAAAATAATTGGCCACCCCTGCTTTAACCTTAAAAACTCACCATGTGAAATTTGTGAATGTAAACTTCAAAGTAGTCAGGTAGTTAAAAAAACCATATTTAAAGTGATAATACAAAAACTACGGCCCTGCCAGTAAAGGAACGAGTTTCTAAGAGTACACCTGTCGTGCTGAGCTAACATACTGTAGTTAAGGGACATAACATCTACATCAATAAGGAGGCTTCTTGAGTTGTGTTTGACCATGGGCATCAACATCCAGCACTTGATGCTTAGGTTGTGTTTCAGCACCAGGGACAGCGACATCAGTATATAACCCATAGGTTCTTTTTCAGAACAACTGACAGCAACCACCAATGTTATACTCTGTAGTTTTGTTTCAGCACCATGGACAGCAACCACTCGTGTTTCACTTTTAGGTTGAGTTATACAGACTCCACAGGAGTCTGGGCTATCGGGGATTTTTAGAAGCAAGAGTTTCACTGCGAGTCATTCCAAGTTTACATTAACACAGTCATACAGTCACGTTGTATTTTATGCAAAGTACACAGCCTACACGTGGCACGGTGTGGCACCTTCTGTGCAACTCACCGCCTTCTCACTTTCTCTAAATTTATAATGCTTATTAAATCATAAAGCCTACATTCGCCTATGCTTAGATTTTGCCCCCTCAACTGATACCGGCCAAGCTATCTATGGTGGTCCACCCATAGCTTTGGTGTGAATATGTGCATCAACAGAGAAAAGTCACGACATTGCTTCTTATCCTCATCCACCCTCAGTTCCCTTGCCTTCCGCCTCATACAGTCCAGACCCACCCCTTACTGTCTGCCATGACCGTCCTCCACAATATGAGACTGTATTATGTGTACCTCCCCTTTTCTCGCCCTCAGTCTGTGCATCCCAGCCTTTCTTCCTAGATATCCATCCCACACCTCTCCGCCCGCAAACGGCTCCTACGGTGAGGAGAAAAAAAGACAACAGAACAGTTTCAAACACGTCGGCATAAATCTCCCATCCAGAGCTCCCTTTTCTCTTTTCCCTCCTGACGGACTTCATTACTTTATTCCTCTGCGCGCCAATGCCCGAGACCACGCCGAAACGAAGGATTTTTTCCCCTTGAGCATGAAAAGGATTGCCAAATCATCCGCAATCCAACATCACCGACTGAGCCACCAGCATGAGCACTGGATACATATGCTCCAGCAGAAGTTGTTGGCTAGAGAACTAACACATCTTGGACCACAAATACAGCTAAGAGGGGAGAGTCAGTTTTAGGTAAGTACGGCTATCCCGGCTTGGACCTCTAACATCATTTGAGGGTATCTTACATGTATTTTTTCTATCCATCGCTGACCACGAGGTAGTGGTCGGGTAGGCAGGGCTATATTGTGGTACAATTATGGCGATGTTGCGTGGTCAGCATGTTACTTGGGTGGCCGGTGGTGTCCTTTTCAGGATGGAGGCAATTTGTTCTTCACACTGTGAAGCTACCCTTTTAAATAATCGGTGTGCAAGTCCTTTCAAGATCTACCCGGACTGAATGTCGACGGAGCGTTCTGAGGCTATTGAGAATAATTCCACGAGTCTTGTAATCTTATAAACCCATCATCTCCAAACAATATGCAAATGAGTAATTCTCTCGATTATGTGCACTCGACTGCATTCTCTCTGCACGTTGTGAGACAGCATCTTTCCGCGGTGATGCTGCAGAAGTGCGGTTTATAAAGGAGCACAAAACACTGGAAGAAATAATGATCTCAGAATTTGGGGTTCGCATATTACGCAGACGTGCCGCGCGGCTTCAGTGAATGGCATTACAGGGGCAAAATTCAGAGTGAAGGTGTTTTTGCAGGCCTACAGATCACTGTGCAGTCGACATCAATGTTTGTGTTCAAGCTAACTCCGTTTGCAATCCAGCCGTGGCTTTTTACATCCATGTTGATCAATTCAGCCCGGAAACTGCATTATCCATTAACCAAAAGTGAGTGCCATCCCAGCTATTGGATATGGAGTGAGTGGCGGTCATGCTTCCTGTTATTATATTTTTTTTTCTAGATTCCACGTTATGGATGAATTACTGCCTGTAATGAATTCTGTGAAAGCAGATAGTCAGCTGGATCTGTGTTCATGTGTACGTGCTGGTCTGAGTTGTACGTGGCTCTGAGTGCACGAGAGTGCGCGAGCGTGAAAGCAAGCACGTACTTGCTTGTTTTGTTGTATGTCTGCGTGCGTGTGTGTGTGTGAGTCACACCAGTGAGGCAAAGTTGCCGTTCCATGCTCCCTCAACTTGCTTTGATTGCTGTTCCACTGACTAACTGCGAGGGGAGCTCATGCTCTTTTACACTAGGTGTCATTATGTGGCTAAAGGCAAGATAACTGTGTATGATACTGATCCCAACTCTATGAAATTAGAGAAGTGGCTTCTGTTTGAAATTGATCAGGAAGCATATATCTGCACTTCCATGACCGCCACTGCAATTCTTGTTTTGTTTATCAATGTGTCTTTTTTGGAAAGCACCCAATTAGCTACAGCAGTATTAACTAATATATCCAGAAATACACTTTATTAGTCCATGGTTGCCAGGTTTAGAGCACAAGACATCAGTCGAAAAATTGCATGAAAAAAATAGTAATGGGCCACAATAAACAATGCAAGATCTCAGTTTAGCCTTGAACGAGCAAGCTGAAAATGGTTTGTGTGGCACTCTGTGGGTAACACCTGCATGCTGAATTTGAACTTTAAGTTAAGCGTTAATGTTTGAAATTAACATTAAATTGACTGCAAGTCAATACATCCTGCAATATTGTTCTGTCTGCATCTCCAAATGTGCAGTGCGGAAAATTACACTGGCAGCGGAAATTGCAGAAGAAAAGCTGCCTTATTCAGTATGCCTTGTTCAATCTGGTGGCCTTTTCAATGGCAAAACGCTGGCAACATGTAATCATTTTCAGAGAGAATGCATTCCACATCACATTGCCAAAATGAAAATGCCAGCAGTAGCTTGAAGCTGTATTTGTGTCATGGCTTTAGATGACCCATTGCTGATTATGCTTTCAATGACTGAAAAGAGAACATTCAGCAGCAGAGTTCCCTTACAGGCCTTGGTAGGGCAACTTACTGATGAATTGTCAGCAAAGCATGTTGCTGGACAAGGCAAGGAAATATACAACCATAAAAATAATTAGAAAGGACGGATTATAGAATTCATGCATTCACCCTTTGCACAAATAACTGCTCTATGTTTAGTATCTTGTGTATAGAGATGGATATTATTTGCAGACAGTCTTTCTGGTGGACAGAGAGCAGTACTAGTCATGTACTGGCAGAACCCACCAGCTCTCTCTCTCCCTCTCTGTCTCTCCCTTTGTATTCTTGCATTGGCACAACATTGTTTTTATGTGGGTGCTGGCTGCAGCTGTAGTGGCCAGAAGGCTGCCTCCCAAGAGGTTTGAAAAAAAAATCTGTTTTTATCGGAAACAAACAACAGGGTCACGTAACGACATGTGACAAAACCTTACAGAAATGCTGGTGAGCTTACAATATTTTGGAGAGGCAGCTGAATCACTTGACCTCCACTAGGGGCTGTCTGACCTATGAGCTGCTGCTCACACAGGTCTAACCATGTATCCAGTATGATGTTCAAAAATAATTCTCACCCCGTAGGCTCATAATTAAAGGGTTGGTAGCTGATCGCAAGTAGTTAATTGCACCATAACATTTAAACCACGTTAAGCCTTGATTAACAACTCCAGAAGGGGATTTCAATTTAGTTTTTCATCTTAACTTTCATGTAGAGTGACACCATGTCACCCCCCATGAATTGTATATAAAATATAATAAAAAAACATTGATTTATTGTCTGAGAAGGGAACCATAATTTTGTGAAGGAACATTTTGAAATCCATAGTTCTGCTGCTCTTCACTGTCTTTGTCATTTACTGAAATGTGAGGTGTGGGCTCAGTGTGAGGCATCAGGTGAGCTGAAAGCAGGCTCAGAAAATCAGTGGCAATTATATTGTTGAAAAAAATATTTAGGCATTTAATACACACAGTTCTTCATCTGAATGCAGTGGCCTCTGTCCGGTGTATACCTTCCTCTCTCTCTTCCTCTCTCCCTTCACAGCAGGAGACCAGTCTGAATGTTTGTGAGTGAGCATCAGCACCATTTTACAATACAATCAAGAAATAAATTGCACATCAAAAGTTAACAAGCAAACAGAAATCTATTATTTAGCAGATAGATGTATGCACTTTCAGTTGCTGAAAGCAAAGCCTATTGTGGCTTGCTTTCTGACTGCTGATGAACCTGAATATACTGTTACGTAAAACCATTAAATATTAAGTTTATTTGCAGGAGCTGCTGTTACAGAGTTTTGTACTGGAATTATAATTCTTGTAGTATTTTCTTGTGTATTCAGTTTAACAATCGTCGCAAAAAAGAAAACGACATTAGCTGATCGCCTTGATGTTATTGGTATTGCGGTGCAATTTGACCCGTACTGGTTGTTTCTTTTTTTATTTTTTTTAATAACGTCCTACTTGTTCTGAAGATTTCTGCTTTCAAATGCGCAAACGCAGACCTTGCCTATTTGGTTAACACAGGCAGTCCTCTGTAAACTGTGCATCTTCACCTGATATTTGGCTTCCAGGTAGGAGACACTGGATGGAAAAGTGATGCTAAATTCAGCCTCTACAAACCTGACCCCTGAGTCATCAAGCACTGTCAGGGAGCTCAGTTATTACTCCTTAAAAATATGACAACTCTGAAAACACAGTGATAACTACAGTAATTTATCTTGCTTGACACTGCCTTGGTCATAGCTGGTTTGGTGATAGCTCTGGTTGTACATCCATATGAATTTGAATGTTCTGCCCCATGTTACTGTGAGTGGGAGAGAGCTGTTTTGATTTGCTGTAGTCTGTCACAGTACTGAACAATAGAAGTCTGCACTGGCCGGCGATTATGCATAGAACCTTTAACTTCATTTGCTTCACTATGGCCTCCCATGTTCCCTCCAGCAATATCATTTGATCTGGCCCAGTCTAGAAGTTGTGTCTGAGGTATTTTAAACAGAATACAGTCTTCTCAGTGGTACAATATCTTAGGGCCCCAATTTGTATGAAGATGAAATAGAGCAGTGGTCAGGATTTGGCAATTGGCAATTTTGTTGTGGAGATTTTCTTTCCCACCTTCATCTCTTTGGTAATGTTGTGGGGAGCCATGGTAGAAATACATGTTAGGGGGAATGTGTGTGGATTATGTTCTATATCAGCATATCATGTTGATATGTCATAAATGTTAACATGTTGAACATATCTACAAAACCTTCATAACCAACATATTTTTTAATTCTGTTCAATGTGGACACTTTTGTGTTTTATTCTACAATATCCACGTGGGTCAATTAAAGCATGATTAAGGTATTGTTAAAGCCGCTTTAATCAATATATTTCTATATTCTTATATATCCCTTTCTGCAGTTCCCCTCAGCTCTACGAGGCCCATTGTTTTGGTTTTAGGGCCCGCACCCTTACTGTTCCCATTCACTCTTGCTGCTCGCAAATGCTTCACCACAGATGCAGCAGGCTGTTTTCAGAAACAATAAGATAAACCCAGTGTATGCTACCTGCCTACTGTAGCACTTAACCACAGAGAGACAAAGTTTGTGACTAATTGGTAGATATAATAAAGCATATGGCACCTCAAGAGCCAATATTTTCTTCAGCAATTGGTAGAGACCAAATCCAAGCTAATAGAGTGAATAGTGACCATACATAAACGTAACTCCTGATAAATGCTACTGCTGTGTTGCCCCAAAGTGGCCACAAATGTCTTGGTTTAGATTAAGAAGCTACTGTAGTCATGGTTAGTTTTGACAACTGTTACCACCTCTTCTAACACTGTGACCTCCACACTCTCTCACTGTGCACATGTCACACTACTTATTGCACTGGCCAATGCAATGAGGTTAAAGAAAACTCCAGGCCAGTTACTTTTAACTCATAACCTTATTATCCTAGCTTTAGATAATAATAATAATAATAATAATAATAATAATAATAATAATAATAATGTGTGAATGATTTCCTTCTAGTCTCATGCCTTCTGGCTCTGTGTAATGTTGTGATATTCATAGTTTCCAGGGTCATACAGTGCAGCTGCCGCTGCACCAGTACAGTGTATTCACACGTTGATAGCTTTTGCAGATCCACCAAAGATTTTCAGGACACTAACTCTACATTTTCATCGAAAATACTGTTTCCATCAGTGGCA